TCTCGCAAAATCTACGATCCCATAAGGACCCCGCGCAGCTCTCAACGTCGAGAAGGACCTTGGCCAGACCGAGAACGGCCTGGACAACGACGACCTCAAGGCAGTGAAGGAGGCCCACAAGACCTCCAGGGAGAAGGGCCGAAAGAAGGATACTCAAAAGGATTCGAGGGCGAAGCGTGGGCCCCCCGAGGAGGGCGGCGGCGCGGGCAACGGCGACGCCGAAGATGCTGACTCGTCGTCGAAGGGAGATCGCGCGGACAAGCTTGCTATTCCGCCCGCTGTCGACCCGCCCCCTGCCCCGCCCGCCGGGGGCGACGGCGCTGCGCCGCCATGCATGAATGCGAAGGAGAAGAAGCAGAAGCCCGAGTAGAAGGGGCGCGCGGCCCCCGACCCCCAGCATGACATCGATTTGGCCCTGACCAAACAGTTCGCCCCTGTCATGGGGGGCTGCGGGCCGACCAAGGACACCAAGCGCTTCGCGAGGTTGCGCGGCGAGTACCCGAGGGAGCTGCCACCTGGGCGCTGCGCCAAAGCTGGGGCGCCCACGCTGGCGAGTCGATCGAGAGCAGCCCGATGATCGTCTTCAGGCTACTTTGAGCGTGGCACAAGGAAGTTGCCCAGGAGGAGGCTCCTACGACCTCGATTGAGCAAAATCTTTCGGTATCAACTTTATATAGAGTGGCGCGTGCGCGAGGGTGTCCATGCCTTGCCTCAGTGCCCCCGCTCACTCTCATCGTCGAAACGCGCACTTCGTCGGGGAACGCCCTTTTGATGCTAGAGTTTCTCAAACCGTCGATTGTTTTGCGTTTGGGGCGTCGCTGGTGCGTTGTCGGGGTGCATCGCAGATTCGCGTCGTTGCTTCTCGGGGGCATGGCGCTGCAGCCAGTAACGTGGAACATGGCATGTCCCAGAAGTCAGGGGTGCAACAGAGATAGGGCCCTCGTAACCTCACTCTCCTTGCGCGGCCAGCGCAGGACGCAAGGCTGTAGCCGAGCTGGCCCCGCGTAGATGCGCGCTGCAATGCTAAGCTGCACCGCCCGTCGGCAGGTCGGAGCGATGAGCAGGAGCAGACAAGGATGAATCCATCTGTATATGGAAGTCGGTGGTGGTATTTGGAAGAAGGCTGTTCAAGCCCATCGTCGCTCTGCCTGTCCTGTCTCCGATCGATGGCGGCTCCTTCGCGCTGGGGCGGCGCCGATTTGGGCGCGACAGACCAATTGCACCGCGCTTGTTCGAATGCAGCTGCTGCCCCCGCGGCTCACTTGTCTCGTTGAAATCCTCCCTCCTCGCCCCCTCATCCTCGCTCGCGCGTCCTTCCTCCCCCCGCCCACTCTTTCTCCCACTCGTGAAGTTATAGCGCGCACAAGTGCGCGCATTCCCCGGATGAGCTCCCCGGCCCCCCCCCCCCCCCCCGACAATGGCATTTCGCAGTGTTGCTGAAACGCCTTGGAGACTATGTGGTATCACGGCGCAACAATCAGTTCTTGTGCATCAAGGGTTGCGAACCAGTAGGCGCTGCCCTCCTCGGCCTCGGCGGCCACGCTGGCGGCGCGACGGAGAAAGCGCGCTGGAGGGATAGGTTCCATGGTGGTCAGTCTCGCAAGAACCGCTGCAGCAGAGCGCTCGCGTTCGGGGTGGCCCCAGCAGATGCCGCGCTCGAGCGCGGCGACGAGTTCGACGTCGCGGTTTCCCACGCGCGCGACTTGTTGGCGAGCGGCAAGTCGGGCGCGCGGAAAGTCAACGATTTCATCTTTTAGTCGGTGCAAGTTGCCTCCGATCACGACGCGAAGGTTGCGATGGGCGCCCTTGGCATAATGGTGCTGGATAGCGCTGGCGCGCCGCAGTCGCGGCCCTGACGATCGAGGCGGCAGCTCGCCACCCGCGACGGTAGCACCCGCGCGAACAGTTGCGCGATCTTCTGCGCGCGCTCCTGAGGCGCGCGTCGCCGCGCGGCCTGGGCGATCTGCGCGGCGATGACGGCGGCGTCTTGAGCGACGGGGCTAGGTTGCCCAGCGCCCCACGTTGTGCAGCGGCCCCTGGCCCCCCTGCGCCTCGCGCGCCCGAGAAGTGCGCGAACGCGGCGAAGATCCAGATTTCTAGAGCCGTTTATGGGGTCGGGGGCCGCCGAGGAAGACGCGGCCGCGGCGGCGGCCCGAGCTGCGCGCAGTACAATGCTGCAGTAAAAGATCATAAACAAAGATGGCAAGGGTACACTTGGGAACGCAGGGCAGGGCCGCGCGCGCCTGTCCGCGCGCCCGTCGAGGGGGCCAACGCTCGGAGCGCGATCCGGAACGGGGCGATGAAACGGGCCCGGCCCTGGCACCGATCAGGCGGGCGCGCGCGCCCAATTCGCGGGGCCCGAGAAAGAGAGACAGGCGACGGGCGCAAGACAGACGGCGATCGTTGACGGACAAAAAGCGGACGAGAAGAGCAATGCCACCGCGGGCCCAAGGCAGCAGGCCCAGGCAACCGGGGGCCAGCCCAGAGCCGCAGGCCCCGCCCCCCTGGGCGTCGACGGGGCCGCCCACGCACGAGCCGACGCCCGAAGGAGCTCGGTTCCTCCAGCCACTCCCTCTGCAGCATGAGCAGTCCAACCCCCGCGTTGCAGCGACCGCAGTGGCGGCCGCGCCCAGCAGCGATGGCGCGGCTGCAGTGACCGTTCCCGCAGCGCCAACAGGTCGATGGACGTTGGCGACTCCGTAACGCCGTGGCCTGCCAGCCCAGAACTGCCGCAGCCGCCGCAGCACTTCCGCTGGCAGTGCATTGCCAGTGGCGGATGACAGCGACCGCCTTTGCAGCGCGATCCCACCTTTTGGCTGCCAGATGCATGGGCAACTTCACAGCTCTGCATGAATCTAAGCGTCGCTTGCCAATGCAGCAGAGCGGGCACGGCGTGGCCGCAGTGGCAGCACACCCACAGCCTCCGTCGCAGATGCAGCAACAGAACCAGCAAAACATGAGCCACAAAAGTAGCACAACTACCAGGTGTTCGAGAAACTGTGGGTCAGGAAACAGAAAGCGGACGATACTATTGAACATCTAACGCATAACCACGAGCTGAGGGAATAAGTGAAAGAGTTGAAACAGGCAATCTGGGCGCCAAAGAAGACAAACGAGAACTGGAAGTGGGAGGGCCACGACAGGCAGTGGGAGAACGACGGGTGGATGCACAGGTCTCTATATGTTTCTTTTTCTCTCTCGCACGACAAATACTGGTTGCCTCCTCTGTTGCTCTGTCTCCTCTATTTCTAAGTATCCCTTTCCTCCTCCTCCTCCTCCTCCTCCTGCTCCTCCCCTTCTCCCCCTCCCTCCTCTTTTGTTGTTGTTCTCTCTCTCTCTCTCTATCTCCCCCTCTTTCTGCATGTCTACGTGTCTTTCTCCATGTGCGACTGTCTGTCAATGTCTGCCCTTTGCTGTCTCTCTCTCTCTCTCTGTTTATTTCTCTCTATGTTTCTTTCTCTCTCGTTACCGTTTCTTTTTCTTGTTTTTTGTTTTCTCTCTCTCTCTCTCTCTTTTCCCCCCTCTCTCTCTACACACATATGTACGAATGCGTGTTTCTCAATCTCTCTCTCTCTCTTTCTCTTTTTTTTTTTTCTCTCTCTCTCTCTCTCTCTATATATTGTTTTTTTTTGTTCTCTCTCTCTCTCTCTCTTTCTGCCTCTTTCTGTCGTCTCTCTCTCCCTCTCTTTCTCTGTCTTTCTCTTTGTTTATCGCTTTCTCATGCGCTGAAAGACCAAACGGGGCGGACCTGCAACCCTGCAGTGAAAGGCTCCTCGGCGAACCAGGACCCCTGCAGTGAAGGGCCCCAAGGGTTTCCAAACGTAGCGTGTTCGTGTCCTTCACACGGCAGCAGCCCACCGTTTGCAAAAAACAGCCGGGCGGGCCCCTGCGCGCGCCCGAGGGCCGCCCGTGGTCAGGGGGGGCGGCGGGCGGGCGCGGCAGGCCCTGCGAGCGGGCGCCGGGCCACCGGGCGGGGGCGCGGGCACCTCGGACGTGAAGGGCGAGGGGGTTCGCAGAGGGAGGGCCGCCCCAAGGCGGGGCTAGGGGAGCGGGCCCAGCTGGAGGCGCCTGTTGTCGCGCGCTGTTTTCAGGGGCCGTTCGGAACGGTGTTCCTTCCAGCCCCACCTCTGTCCCTGCCCCACCTCTGTGCCCTTTCCGAGAGGGGCGGCCGAGAGGAACGCGCGACCATAGTCTCCCGCATCCGAGGACGCGCCTGTTTGAAATCGGCTCGGGGATCTTGTGGTCTGTTGCGGGCGCGGCGCGCTATGCAGCGGGAGGCCCTCCCAATGGTCTTGCAAAGGGCCATGGGTTGAGACGGGGCACGGGAGATCTAGCCGACCAGCTGCGTCGAATTAGACTGCGGAGGTGTCCGTCCCATTGCGGGGTGACCTGGACCTCGCCGAGCGCCAAAACTGGGTCGAAACGCTGGGTGCCCTGTGGCCAAGTCGAGCAGCTCTCAGGAACCTTTTGAGGCTCGGCGTGGCTACGCCCCTCGCGAACAAGTTTTTGACAAATTCTGTTTGACCGAATGTGGCCCCCTCTTGGTGACGGTTCCAAGGGGGGGGTCGACGCGTGACCTGGTCCCACTTTGAGACGAGTCGGATCACGGATTGCCATATGATGCGTATCATGGTCGTGACCCAGCCCAGCGTCTGGTCCCGTTTGAACAATGGTTTGCCTGGTCTTCAGTCCGTCCGCCATGAACTTTTTCAAATCATAGTTAAGCTCCGTCCTCGACCTGACCTGCGTCTTCGTATTCACCCTCATTTCTATCGTTATCCTCGGCCACATCCTCAGTGAACACAGCAGATAAGAAATCAGCCTGCCAACAGGTGCACCACGGAAGTAATGGCCCTATGGGGCCTTCAGGAACCTTGGGTACCTCAGAAGGCTGATATTGCGGCGCAGAAGTTGCCCCAACGATTCCTTCTAGCAAGACTTCTCTTCCCTGTGCGTGTATCGTAGCAGTGCTCCTCAGTGAGCACCACTCCCAATGCCAGGCCGCAGGCCTGGTCGCGCTGGCTCAGAGCGCCGCCCCGCCGAGGAGACGGTCTTGCCGGGAGGGGAGCGGGAGAGTGACGCCGGGCGCGTGGGAGGGCGGCGGGAGCCCGTCGAGAGGAAGGATGGGAAGGCTGGCAGGGGAGAGCGCGTGGACCTGGCAAGGGGGGAGGAGGGTCCAGGACTGGCAGGTCTAGAGGAAAAAAAAACAAAAACACACAACAAAACACACACACACACAACCAAAAACAAAAAAAACACAAAACACACAGTCCTTCTCGTCAGCTTCGCCGTCTCAGCGGGCGAGCGCCGCGCCTGCTCGTGCGCTCGCGCGCGGGGTGACGAAAGCCCCTGGCCGCTGCCTGGACAGGTGCTGGATCGGGGGCAGGAGCCCGACCATGAAATTGCGCTCGCAACCACCACCTTGAACAGTGTAGTGGGCATTTTCCCGGGTAGACTCACGAGCGTGTGACGATTAACAACATTTGCGCACTACAGTGGCGTTCTTAATGTTTCGACCATCCCAGTAGGCGTGCGGCCCCGTTTCCCCCATCCCAGTAGACCATCCGGGTCCGGCGGCAGTGGAGTCGGTTTCGGCCCACTTTCGGTGGGGGGGTCAGGGGGGTCCATGGAACTCCCACACCAGTCTCCATGCCCAAACCCACTCAGATTCACTTCTACTGATTTTCGGATGCGCTCATAGCCGGGCTCATCCGTTACCCTGTCGCTTATGTGCAGACCCACTCATACTCACACGCACTCATACTCAGATATGGCCAGAACCCAGACGCGTTCAAGTCATTCTTACTCTGAGTAACCATGCTCAGACCCACTCATGCTAATACCCACTTATACCCAGAGCCACTCATAACAGGACCTACCCATATTAAGATGCACGCATGCCAAGGCCCATTCGGACTGTCTCATCCTCAGACCAACTCCTACTGAGTCAGTCATACGCAGACTCATTTGCATTTAGATTCGCGCGTATTCTGTCGATCGCACTCGAGGGAAATCGTTAGAACAGGTACAGTATGCAAACAATTGATGGGTTCTCCGCGTCCAAGCCAGAGCTCTTGATTCCCTTCGGTGGCAGCTTCTTCGTCCCTGGCTATCGTTCGAGGGTCCCGGTGCGCGAAGGCGGCGCTCGGAAGTGCAAAGCCGCGAAAACATGGCCACCTGGAGCGTCCCAAGATGTTGGAGGGACGGGCCCCGTCTTCTGCACCGTGGGAGTGCTCGTCCACAAGCTGAGCAGTGCGGGAGAGATGCGGGCAGGCAGCGTGAGGACCCGAGGTGGGGACCAGAGGCACACGTGCTGGCCGTCCTGGGTTCTGCTTGGGCTTCTCTGCGGGGGTGGCCGGGCCAGGAGCCACCGGCGGGCCATCGTGGACCGGCAGTGGTGGCAGGGCAACGTCGCGGCGGAGGATGCTCGCTGCAGGGGGCCGTCGCCGAGGAGAGCATCGCCGACGCGGCAGGGGAGTGTCGGCGAGGCGGCAGACGTGGTGTTCGCCCAGATGTCGACGGACGCGGCGGGGCAGCACGTGAACCTGTACGAGGTGCTCTCCTGCGCCGCGTTGCTGTCGCTGCACCTGAGGCTCAGCATCTTCTGACCTGTGCCCATCCCCGCTGGGCCATGCTACGGCCGGACCGAGGTCTGAGGTCGAGGTCGGCTCGGGGCGGGTACCATAATGTTCGTGTCTGTTGGATGTTTTTGTGCATCCTGGGGGAGGGTGCCCTCGAACAGTTTCAGTTAAGCCGTCTGAGGGTCTCATGCTTTGAAGGATGTTCTTCTGTCCCAGGTCCGACCGTATCTCATCCCCATCAGCCCACCCTAACAGGGGGGGATAGGCCCCGTGAAACCCGAGGGAACATGCATCATGTCCCCACCTAGGTGGGTAAGTCGGCCAGTGGGGCTGAGGCCATGCCAGTGGGGACAGGGATCGGTTGAACGATGTTCAGAGGCAGGATCAGAAGCTCGTCGTCCTCGCGCTGCTGTGGAGCTCGCAGCAGGACGGCGCGCTGGGCGTCTCGCAAGCCTGCTCGCTGCTGGGCTCCGTGCTGCTCGGCCTGCACCGCCTCGGCGTCCTGCTGCACTCACCGCCGCAGGAGGCGGAGATAGTGAACGACGTCTGCCGGCTCCTGTGGGTCCTTCGCAGGAGCCAGCCCGCGCGCGACGACGGCCTTCGGATGGGCTCCACGTGTGTGTGCCACGTCGTTTGGTCGGCCAAGGAGCCCTGCGTAAGGATGCGCGATCCAGCGCCCCACAGGCTGGCGGCTGGAGCGTCAGAACGCCGAGCCCCTTGACCGACCATTCGACGTGGTGCACACCTCGAGCCCCTCTCAGGCCTGCAGCTGGAGGAGCTCCTGCTCGTGTCACGCCTGGACGCCTCCATCTCACGCGTGCTCGGCGCTTTCTCCGCGCCCGGCGCGGCCGGCGCCACCCCGCGGGAGTCGCGGGCCCCCTCCGTGGCCCCCGCCCGCGCCGGGAGCCCGGCGCCCGCTGCGGGCAGGCCCCTGAAGGCGCCCGTCAGGAGCGCCCACGTGAGATTCAGAGGAGGTCGAGTTGAGACAGTTGTCGGTAGCGTACTAACCGAGCTGTCGGCAGCTGGCCTTCGATCCCTGGTGGGCTTTGTGGATCGCCGGCGCTCGTACTGATTAGCCCCCTGGCTGCCTGCCTGCTTCGCCCGTGTTCGAGACCGAGCTCGGGGCGTCCTCCTACTCCTCCTCCTCTGTCTTGCGCGCCTGCTGGGTGCAGGCATTTTTGACGCCACAGATGCTCGTCTGTCCAGCAGCTTGCCCACGGAAGTCGAGACAGCCGTAGCTGGCCTTCGGGAGCACCCTCGTCGCCACGGCTGGCGGCAGCGCGG